CATTATATATATCATATTATATACATTATATATAATATTTCCGTCATATATATAATATTTCCCCTATTCATATATACTTTATATATAATATTCTATATATAATATATATACATATGTAAAATATTCTCTTTCTCTTTAGAACTCGTAAAGCCATAATTCAGAACTGAGTCATGGAAGAAACTACTGCCTCTCCTATGATAATAAGTAACCGGGGAATTTGGCAAGCTTCTACATAGGCTAACTGCAGACCACAACAAAACTGATGGATTTTGTTAGCGACTGAGGTTGGTACACTGACAAGGTTATAGTGGCATTACTGATAGGAAGTTACTTCTAATGCTTCTGGATGTAGGATGTGTCTTATTTGCTATATCATATACAACATCAAATAAATGAATCTGGTTCCTGGGAACAAACAACAATAGGACTTTATTCTTCTTTCAGAACTTTTTCTATTTCTCATTTCTTCTCCTCTCTGTTCATCTGTGTTCCTCTTTGCTACAATCTGATGTTTCTGTCTCCACTCTACCTATATGAAGTAATAACTTTTGACAATTCTTGAATTTTACATGTCCCAACTCAGGCCACAATTTCAAAGACAAAAAGAAGGCTTCCGATCAGTTATGGTGCTCATCACTGATGTATTAATGAAAGTTACATGGAGAGCACTAATATGGTTTACCAAAATGCTAACAAGAACATGGAAGAGTAGAATGATAGATGTAGTAAAAATATAGATATCTGCTATAATGACATTTATCAAAAAGTTCTCAATATCATTTATCAAAACCAAAGACTTTGGACATAAATTTCAGCATGTTTCAAATAGAAATATTTTTTAAAAAAGATTGAAAGTGGACTTGCATTTTTCTGATATTACCTAAGTCCCTTTTGATAAGGATTCTTCATGATTCCAAGTTCAAAACTAGCAACACTGTCTAAGATACAGGCAGAGATTCCTGGTATAAAGAATATGTCTTTAAAAAGTAGCAGATATGAAATTAATACCCATAAATCAATTGCATTCCTATACCTTATGGACGAATCAATGAAAAGAAAACTTAGAAAAACTATCCCATTCACCATAGCCTCAAAAAAATAAACTATCTGAGAACCAATCTAACAAAAGTGGTGAAAGATCTCTACAATGGAAACTACAGAACACCAAAGACAAAAATTAGATAGAAAGATCTTTCATGTTCTTGGATAGGCAGGATTAATATTATTAAAATGACCATATTAATAAAAATGCTATACTTATTTAATGCAATTCCTATTAAAATTCCAATGATATTTTTCATAGAAATAGAAAAAGTCTTGAAATTTACTTGGAAAAATAAGAGGCCCAGAAAAGCCAAATAAATCCTTATAGAAAAAAGTGAAGCAGGAGACATCATAATATCAGACCTTAAATTATACTACAGAGCTATAGTAACAAAAATGGCATGGTACTGGCACTAAAACAGACATGAATACCAATGGTACAGAATAGAGAACACAGGGATAAACCCACATACATACAGTTATCTCCCAATAGACAAAGGCACCATAAAGATACATTGGAGAAAAGATAGACTCTTTAACAAATGGTGCTGAGGAAACTGGAAATCCATATGTAGCAAAACAAAATTAAACCCCTGTCTCTCACCCTACACAAAACTCAACTCAAAGTGGATCAAAGATCTAGGTATTAGACCAGAGACCATACATCTACTAGAATAAAATGTAGGCCCAACTCTCCATCATGTTGGCTTAGGAACTAAATTCCTTAACAAGTCTTCTATAACACAAGAAATAAAATCGAGAATCAATAAATGGACCAGGCACAGTAGCACAGGCCTATAGTTCCAGCATCTGAGACGGGAGGATTGTGAATTCAAAGCAAGCCTCAGTGAAAGCAAGGCACTAAGCAATTCAGTAAAACCCTATCTCTAAATGAAATACAAAACAGGGCAGGGGATGTGGCTCAGTGGTCAAGTGCCCCTGAGATCAATCCCTGATACTCCCTCAAAAATAATTAATAAATGGGATGGTATCAAACTGTAAAGCTTCTTTGTAGAAAAGGAAATAATCAAAAATGAGAAGAGACACCCTCCAGAATGGGAAAAAATCTTTGCCACCTGCCCCTCAGATAGAGCATTAATTTCCATTATATATAAGGAATTCAAAACACTTAATACCAAAAAAACCCTTTTAACACAATCAATAAATGGGTAAAGGAACTGAACAGGCACTTCACAGAAGAAGAAATATGATTGGTCAACAAATATATGAAAAATGTTCAACATCTCTAACAATTCACGAAATGCAAATTAACACTACACTGCAATTTCATCTCACTCTAATCAGAATGGCAATTATCAATAATACAAGTAGCAATAAATGTGAGCAAGGGTGTTGAGAAAAAGGTACACTACACATTGCTGGTTGGACTGCAAATGAGTCCAATCCCTCTGGAAAGCAGTATGGAGATTCCTCAGAAAACTTAGAATGGAACCACTATATCCCACTCCTTGGTTTATACCCAAAGGACTTAAAATCATCATACTATTGTGATGCAGCCACTCAGTTTTTATAGCAATTCAATTCAAAATACCTAAGCTATGCAAACAAACTAGGTGCCCTTTGGCAGATGAATTAATAAAGAAAATATGATATATATACACAATGAAATATTAATCAGCCATAAAGAAGAATGAAATTATGGTATTTGCTGGTAAATTAGAATGAAAAAAATTGGGAGAATAGCATGCTAAGTGAAATAAGCCAATTCCCCAAAACGAAAGGCTGAATGTTCTTTCTGACATGTGAATGCTAACACACAATAATCAGGGAAGGGAAGAATAGAAGTTCGTTGGATTAGATAAAGGAGAATGAAGGGAAGAGAAAGGAATGGGAATAGGAAGGACAGTAGAATGAAACAGACAAAAGTTTTCTATGTTCATGTATGAATATACGACCAGTGTAACTACACATCATGTACAACCACAAGAATGGGAAGTTATACTCCATATATGTTTAATATGTCAAAATACACTCTATTGTCATGTATGTCCAAAAATAATTAAGAGTAGTATTCCTATACCTTTGTTTTAGTCTACTTTTTCACTGCTGAAACTAAAGGACTCAACCAAAACAGCTGTAAAGGAGGAAAGGTTCATTTAGGGGCTTACAGTTTCAGAGGTCATAGTCCACAGAAGGCTGGCTCTATTCCCTGGGGTTCTAGGTGAAGTAGAACATCATGGTAGAAGAGTGTAACAGAGGGAAGCTGCTCACACAGCCATCAGGAAGCAAAGAGACTCCACTCTCCAGATGCAAACTATATACCTCATAGCCCCATCCCCAATTAACCACTTCCTCCAGCCACACCCCACCTGACTCCAATTACTACTCAGCTAATCCCATTAGGGACTGATTCATTAATTAGTTTAATCAATCACAACCCAATTATTTCTCCTCTGAACCTCCATGCATTTTCTCACATGTGAGCTATTGAGGACACCTCATATCCAAACCATAAAACAACCTTTCCAAGAAAGAAAAATTGAAACCATCATTTGAAATAGAACTTTAAAGACAGATAGGGTATCCATGCAATAAATTATTTTAATTAATGTAGGGAACTTATAAAGCTTTTTCCAAAATATATTTCAGTTTTTCACTCCTATTTTCAAATTTCCTCATTGTATCTGAGTTTATTCCCAGTGGGTCATTTTAAGAAAGATACATCACTTATATCAAGGATGAGTTCAGGGACTGAATAACAAGATGCAAAGATTAAACCCAAACCATTATAAATTGTTGTCTGCTTTTCTTTGATTAAAAAAAAAAGCACTAGGAAAAAACCCTATTGTTCTCTAAATTATTTCAGAAGAGACAACACTCACAGCTGATACTAAGAAAAATGAATAACTGATGGCTTTAGGAAATCTATCTCCACATCTGGTATATGTTGGTATCTCTGAAAGTTGGAGTCATTGTACACCTATCTGCATTCAAATGCTGACCTAACATGTAGTTAATGTGAAGCCATTTTCTTTTAGTGTTGAAGCTGATATAAAATAGATCCAATAGTAAAAGCAAAAAAGTTCAACAGCCAGTTCAAATATCCTAGAAAGGAAGTTTTTCTAACCAATCCCATACCAATTACACCTACTAGATTGTTTAATCAACCACAGTGATGAATCTACCTTGAAGCTGACTCTAGTGTGTTCTCAAATTTAATGGCGCCTACCTGTGCAGCTCAGATGCCCATCTCACCAGTTTTCAGAATATCTTCTATTGACACCTAAAGCTTTCAGGTACTCAGTTATTACCTATTAGATTCTACCATGCTGAATCTTGTCTAGTAAATAAAAATACACTCCTGCCAGATGTCAAGCAGATCTAGACCAAAGGAGTGTGATGTTCTCCTTTAAACAAAGCAGCACATAATAAACACAGTTTATTTCACTATATTTTATGGCATATAGTAAAATGACTAAAATGTGAACGAACCTCTGTCTCTGAAATAACTGTCTTTTCAATTTCAAAGGAAAATTATCACAAGCATTATTTATTTATAGTTAACACATAAAATGACATCTTAAGTAGAAGTAGGAAATACTTTTATGGATTTATTTATCCTATAGAAAACTAATGACAAACTACTGAGAAACATTTCTGTGACATGCTTATACAGATAAACTTTAGCTTCTAGTTCCTATTTAAAATATCATTTTAAAAACTGGGCATACAGAGTCATTATATGTAAAAAGTAATGCCAAAAATAAATAAAAGCAACCAATGAACCTGGTAATACAAAATTCAAGGGCAATACAAATTTTAATAGTGAGTTTGCTAAGATACATTTTAATAACAATGCATCAAATTTTGATTTTGCCAAATAAAAAATTCAAAGCTCCAAGCAAATATTCTTGATACATGAAGATGTCATAGAAATAAATTTGATTATATGGTTTCCTTGAACAATTCTATCTAACAATTACTTTCTCTAAACATTTGAACTTATGAATAAAATCAGCATCACTGAGTAATATTTATTCTGAAGATAAATATTTCTTAATAAATTTCAAAGAATAATTTGTACTCATTCCACAAATATATCCTGAGTACCTATTCTATATTAGATGTTGGTCATAACATGGTACATAAACAGAATAAACATATTTCCTAGTCTTTTATAGAAAGAAAAAATATGTATTAAATATTTATATGTGTAATACACATGCTACATGTGTGTGTGTTGTGTGTGTAGAAAGAAAAGTTTTTAATGAAACTTTTG